TGCGTTTTAAGTGTCAGTATGTTTGTGTTATCGGTGCGAAAATGAGCTTCGAAACTAAGAAAGTTTTAAAATGACACAAAATATTTGCAGGCCACGTGGTGAACATATGTTCACTTTGACAGTTCACAGTTGATCAGGAATGCATTGAAAAGCTCATGAAAAAGCTTTTCCAAGCTTTTAGGAGTGTTGTAAATTATAATAAAACAAAACAAGATAGAACGCTACAGTCGAGCAAGCCCGACAGTAAAATAGCCTGTACTCTCCACAAAAAGGAAAAATTAAAAAAAAAATTTTTTTTAATTAAATTATTAAAAAAAATGAATGAATTAATTAATTAAAATAATTAATTAAATTAAATTAGAATACATGCTTATGTTCAGTTTAAACATCATACATTTACATCACGTACCTATGCGTGTTTATATGCGTGTATGTATGCAGCACAAAGTTGAACCAAAGCAGCAACAACAACAACAGCTGCGGGCAGCGCTGCCGACAGAGCTGCAGGCAGCTCATGAGCAGCGGTTTTACTTATGGCTATAACTTCAGAATTGACCTATCATGATGAAATTTGGCACACGGACACATTAGAACTAACTGGATGTACCTACCAAAATTTATTTCCGAGTATTACGGAAGTTATAAGAAAAAATACGAATTGCGGGGGAGTGGGGGGGTGTATCAGAAAAAATAAACTAACTCGTTCTGCCTAGGGCTTATAGGAACCTTGATACCAATTTTGGTTATCCTAGCTCTTGCACTTACTGAGATCCTTGCGCTCATACAGACAGACGGAAAGACGGACAGGCGGACATGGCTATATCGACTCGTCTTCTCATCCTGATCAAGAATATATATACTTTGTGGGGTCTGCCACGCCTCCTTCTGTGTGTTACATACATGCGCACAAAACTAGTATAGCCTTTCACCCTTTGGGTACAGGCTATAAAAATTCTGAATTAAACAAGTAAAAAAGCTAAAGTTGGGTGTCCCGACTTTGAAGTACTCTGTACATACGTTTACAATAATTATGGAAATTAAAAAAAATTAAAAAAATAAAAAAATTTGATCGATTTTACCTCTCTCGGTATTCGAACTCACGTAAAGGGTTTATAATTGCACATTTACATAGCAATTGCGTCTGTGTCAGTGTACATATGTATGCCTATGCGCATCTATTCGTGTCTGTGTAAACATGTGTGCAGTCAACCAAAGCACCAGCATCAACAGCCGCGGGCAGCGCTGCAGCAGCAAATATATTTATGGCTATAACTTCTTGGTAAATCGGTCTATCATAGTGAAATTTGACATACGGACACATAATAACTAACTGGGGGCATTTGCAAAGAATTACGGGAGTTAGAAAAAATCGCATTTGCGAGGGAGAGGGGGGAGGGAGGGGAATTCCAAAATATACATTTTCTGCGTATTCACGTAAGGCATCTGGGACTAAAATTTGGTGTTCCTAGGTCTTATAGTCTCCGAGATATAGGCGATTATACGAATGGAAAATCGGGAAAACCCCCATAGGGGGAATTGGGGGGGAAAATCAAAAAAATAAAACAAACTCGTATAGAATACACACATAACGCATCTTCGTGCAAAATTTGGTGTCTCTATCTCTTATAGTCTCTGAGATCCAGGTGTTCATACGGACGGACAGACGGACAGACTGACAGACGGACCGACGAACAGACAGACAGACAGACAGGGCTAGATCGACTCGTCTCGTCATGCTGATCAAGAATATATATACTTTGTGGGGTCTGCCTTCTGCCTGTTACATTTTTCAGCTCCCGCAAACCTAATATACTTCTGTACATTTCATGTACAGAGTATAAAAAAATTATTGAGTTAAATCCCGCTAGATTTGTCTTTTGGGCCACTTTACGTCGTGTGTTGTAGTGCAATTAACGTCAAATTAACCAAATTAATTCGCGAAAATACGCTCAGGGTATGCATGGGCACTTATGCTCGTGTGACCCATGTAAATTGATCATATATTGTGATTAGCACAAAGAAAAACGTATTAAATTTTGTGAAAAAAATAAGGTAATGTCAACGAGAGCTCTGAGAGAAAAAATGAGCCAGAATCGTGCTCGACAGCAACAATACCAACAAGACGATACGCAAAGCGCTAATGAAGCGTTAATACAGACTGAAGAAGATAACGCCGAAACAGCCAAAGCCAAGCAACTAAAGCCGCCACCTATTTATGTGCGTCAGGCAAATTGTACAGAATCAGTTAAAAAACTCACTACCAAAATTGGCGGGAACAAATTCTATGTTACGTCTAAAAAAAGGGGTAGCATAAATTAAACTAAAATACAACATGATGAAAATAAATATCGATCACTGGTCAAATACCTCGACGATGAAAAGATGAACTACTACACCTACCAACTTAAAAGTAAAGGGATTACAAGATCCTACAAGACCCAAAGGAATCGAGCAAACAGTTCCAGTCAGCGATATAAAAAATGAAATTAAAGATAAGGGCTTTGAAGTCAAAATGACCATGAACATAATAAATAGAAATAAAATTTCCCAACCAATGCCAATGACACCTGACTGTAAGCCTATAAATAAAAACGAAGTTCGCCTAATATCTACTGTACCGTTGAGGAACAACAAAAACGAAATGGACGAACGAAACTGCCAAGAATATGGACACACAACTCGCAGTCTGTGTTGCCTGCGGGGATGTACATCTCAATGAGTTCTGCCCTGTAAATAAGGAGGACCCCTCTGCTAAAAAATGTAGCAACTGTGGGTGAAACCACACTGCCAACTATAGAGGTTGCCCTCTATACAAAGAGTCAAAAAATCGCCTAAGTCAACAAAAATCCGCAGCTCGAAGTCCAGTCATCTGACAAAACTTGCCTTACATACCATCAACTACGATTCCAGGAGTATCTTTTGCTAAGGCGTTAAGTAACATCAATGAGTCATACGCCTCAGTCTCTAAACAAACCACTGCAGGAATAATGAATAGTCAGACATCGCAACAGGGGCCAGAAACTACTGTCCAACATACCACTGCAAACCCATCCCAATTGCCTAGTGGAATTGAATCAATTCTGGCAACTCTAACAAGTACAATGGTAGCAATGCAACAAACGATGCAGGAACTTTTGCGCAATAAAAAACTCCTCCTGTAATTACTTATCAAATAGAAATCTAATTAAATGGTTTCTCTAAAAATATGTTTCTGGAATGCGAATGGCATTTCACAGCACAAATGCGAGCTATTGACGCCATGCTCATATCAGAGATTCACCTAAGGAACACAAATCATTTTCAATTTTCAATCATTCTCAATGGCTTCAACTTCTTCGCGATAAATCATCCCGATGGTAAGGCTCATGGAGGTACTGGCATCCTAATAAAGCGTCGCATCGTGCACTATCCGTTACCAACATTTGCCACAACTTATCTACAGGCCACAACAATTCATATCGAAACACAAAGCTGCTATTTAAGCCTAGCCGCAGCATACTACCCACCGAGCTTCTCCGTTTCTGAGACAGAATTTGTACATTTCTTCGACCTACCAAGTGACCGCTTCATAGCAGCTGAGGACTACAATGCAAAACACACATTGGGGATCCCGACTCAACAACCCAAAAGAAAGACAACAATATAACGCTATAATAACACCACGAAACAAGCTTGACTTTATTTCTCCGGGCTTGCCTACATATTGGTCCGCAGATCCAAAGAAGCAACCAGACTTGATTGATTTGCTATTACAAGAAGAGTGCCACAGGCTCAGATCACTCATCGGATCACTCGCCAATCCTTCTTCACCTTTATGACCACCCATAGTACTCGGAACGCCCACACTTTTGAATTTATAGATTTCTAGATTAATTACAGATTGGCTTAAATACAGGAAGTACGTAAGTTCCCATATTTATGGCTGCCCAAACATTAACTGCAAAGATGACATAGATACCTCAGTTGAAGCATTAGTGTCTGTAATCTCACTGGCGGCAAAACATTCCTTTCCAGAAATCACAGCTTATAAACTTTACAAATGCATATTCCATATTCTCCTAAGACCGAGAAAGTACGAGTTTGAGTTTTTTTTCGATGCACCCCCCCACTCCCCCGCAATTCGTGTTTTTTCTTATAACTTCCGTAATTCTCGGAATTTTGAAATCAATTTTGGTAGGTACATCCAGTTAGTACTAATGTGTCCGTGTGCCATCGTGATTTCATCGTGATAGGTCAATTCTGAAGAAAGTTATAGCCATAAGTAAAATCGCTGCTCATGAGCTGCCTGCATCTCTGTCGGCAGCGCTGCCCGCAGCTGTTGTTGTTGTTGCTGCTTTGGTTCAACTTTGTGCTGCATACATACTCGCATATAAACACGCATAGGTACGTGATGTAAATGTATGCCGTTAAAACTGAACATAAGCATGTATTCTAATTTAATTTAATTAATTCATTCATTCTTTTTTCTAATAATATAATTTTAAAAAATTTTTTTTTTTTTTTAATTTTTCCTTTTTGTGGAGAGTACAGGCTATTTTACTGTCGGGCTTGCTCCACTGTAGCGTTCTCTCTTGTTTTTTTAATAATTTAATTTTTTTTAATTTTTTTTTTTTTTTAATTTTTCTTTTTTGTGGAGAGTACAGGCTATTTTACTGTCGGGCTTGCTCGACTGTAGCGTTCTATCTTGTTTGGATTAATTTGGTTAAAGATTTGTCTATGTAGGAACTAGCATCAACTACAATAATGATGTCCTGGGAGTTTCACTGTAGAATAAGTTTACTAATTAAGGCCATTATGAGCTCAGTAAGCGATATGTGAGTAGATTCTTCTCACGACGCACTGAACAAACACTAAAGTCCCTTTGTGCTGTTGTCATTGGATTCCTTTCACTTGGATAAAATCTTCATCATGCATTTGCTTATTTCCATTGCTACTTACATCGCAAAGCCGCAACTATACAGTCATGATATATGCCTGCATAACTATGGTATATTTCTTACCTGCTTTGATGACAATGTCTCTAGAAATAATGGCGCCTATATTGTTAGCTGCTCTACAACGATAGACTGACCAATGCACGTCCTGGCGAAAATCTTCAGCTTCAAACGGTGGTAAATATAGGGAGTTATTCGCCAAAATATGTCTAACCTGAAATATTTAAAAATATATACAAATTATATATTGGGCTTCATTGACATTCAGAAATACCAGAAATGCGGCTTCGAATCATAAAGATTTTTTATAAAATATGTTCAAAAATACTAATAAAAGCATTTTTCCACATGAAAACAAACATGGGAATACAATTTATATTGCTTTATACGCGTGAGTCATATACTTTTCGAGCCTTAGAGGCGATCTTAGCGCTTATAGCGTGATCAGTCTTGTTCTGGTGGCTGCACTGTAAACGTACACACTGTACATCTAATCATATCACCACATTGTTTAATAAACTCAATATGTTAAATACCTGGTTTCTACAAAGTTTTACTCTAGCAAATTGAGATGGGCATTGTCAGTGCTTTTTGATCGTGGCTCATTGCTGCACGGAATTGACACGAGTGCCGTGTTTCATATCATACAGTTTGTCCTGACTGATTGGTGATCAACGCACAACCCAAACGGTAAAAGTTAGGAAGCTGAAATTTTGACTCAAGTATCCTTTCATAGTATCCATCATAGTGTAGGTGCGCACTAAGAAAGGCTTTTGGTCATGTGTGTGTACGTTTAACGAAATATTTTGGCAACAACAAAAATGTAACGGATAATAATGTTAAAACATATGGGTAGGTCATGCACGCACAAAATAAATACAATTTGAAACATTACATTATATTATATTGACGGGAAATACCTGCTAGTACTTCTATATTTCGAAGATCGTTGAATGCCAATTTGTAGATATAGTTGTTTAAAATAAAACACACGTTATGCCAATATAAATAAATATAATATAATATGTAAGACCTGGAGGCCATAACCTTTGCCGGCCCTTTGCAGAATGCTTAAATAGAAACATGAAAATACCAAGGTATTGTTTTTATGTGAAAACGTAAAATTTAAGTTGTTAAGTTAATGCAGTTTCCTTTTTGAAACCAGACACAAATACTAGATAAATATGTCATTTGCGCAGGTCATAAATATCAGTACACGCACAAGTGAGTGCAAAGAAAAACGATCCTTGAAATAAATAAATAAAATATGTAAGCATATGGTATCGATTAGAGCGATATCATATGCAGGTCACAGATTCAAACCACCAATAGGAAATACAGTCCACATTTACATAAGACAAGTAGTTATAACACAAGTAAGTCAAAGGGAACTGCAGAAAGAGAGAGTATATGTAGAAGGTAGAAAATAAGTGTAGATCTTAAGCAACAATTGTGTACATAATAAGCAATATTTTCAATAATAAATTCAGTTCAAATTTTGAATTCAACGAATGAAGTTGGCGTTAGCTTCCTAGCTTTTACAGTTTGGGCTGTGCATTGATCACCAATCAGTCAGCCATTCAGTCAGGATAAACTGTTTTACATATACAGATTTAATTTTGTAATTCAACCCTAATATGATTATGATAAATTATGATTATTATATTGAATTTTCTTTTTTTATATTTTTGAATATTGCACATTGTTTTACTAGCCTTAAGATCTACGTACGGTTGAAAAAGTAAAGAGAAACATACATATGTATGCCTGTGTATGAATATAGCATGTATGTAGATTCGTATTAATGTATACATTGGGCAATCGAACACAGTTGTTTGATTGTAAAAAAAATAATGCTCTAAAAACAACAACAACTGCAATTCATTGGCTCGCTCTTCTTCTTTCGTTTTGACCATTTAATGTTAATCGCAAAGGCAAAACACCAAAAGTTTACAGTTACCTTCGCTAGACAACGACTGCGTAAGCGATAGTAAAGCAGAAACCGAATAACGGAGCTACGCATATTCTGCTTCGTATTGCGGGCAGATGTATGTATGCATATGATTTGTTCTTATTGATCTCAATAAATAATTAGATTTTATTATTCAAATATTCTGCTTATTCCATTCAAACTTCGATATTTTGATGCTATCGGTGGCTTCAACTATCGAAAGTTTTACTCTAGCAAATTGAGATGAGAATTGTCAGTGCTTTTTGATCGTGGCTCATCGCTGCACGGCATTGACACGAGCGCCGTGTTTCATATTCCGAGTTTGTGCGTGACCGTATTGACTCAATATGGCACGAAAAGACTCAAATGTGAATTTAAAATTAGGATATACCCTTATAATTATTTCCCTTTTTTTTGCACATAGTCTATCTTAAAACGTTGCGGTTTCTCTATATATAAAACAGTTTGTCCTGACTAATTGGTGATCAACGCACAGCCCAAACGGTAAAAGATGAAATTTGGACTCAAGTATCCTTTCATAGTATCCATCATAGTGTAGGGACACACTAAGAAAGGCTTTTGGAAAATTCTAGCTCCAAAGGATGGAAAACGAGCTTTAAAAAATATTAGTTATAGTGGTCATGTTCGTTTAACGAAATAGTTTGGCAAGAACAAAAATGTAACGGACTACTGAACAATTTTTTGTCAAGAACAGAAAATGTGCATTTAAATACCTTAAATGCCTTCCTACTGGTAACCTTTAAGGTGAAAGCATATGGGTAGGTTATGCACACACAAAATAAATACAATTGGAAACATATATATATATATATATATATATTTTTTTTTTTTATATATATAAATATATATATATATATATATATATATATATATATATAATAATAATAACAATAGTAATAACAACAGTAGATAATTATATATAAATTATGTCTGCAAAGTTTGGTAAATGTAGCTTTTGAAATGTGGACGGTATTGACAAAATTCTGTAGGGGGGGAAAATTCCAAAAAATTAAAATAATCTCGTCCTTTCTCGGACATAGGAGAATCTGGATACCAACTTTGCTTATTCTAGCCTTTATAGTTTCCTAGATCCTTGCGTCCATCCAGACAGACGGACAGACAGACGGACAGACGGACGGGCATGTCTAGATCGATTTCTCTCGTCATGCTGATTCAGAATATATATACTTTGCATACTTTGCACAAACCTAATATACCCTTTTTACCCCACTTGTACAGGGTATAAACAAATAAACTTGACCTGCCTAGGACTTAGGGGACCCTGGATACCAGATATAAAATATCTGAGCTCAAATTTCAGCTTCCTAGCTCTTACCGTTTGTGCTGTGGGGTGTTGATTGTGTTTCAATTTTTCCACGGGAAAACCCCCCTTTTTCATGCCTCAGAAAAAATGCTGCAAAACAAAGTATACATTGTTTTTATAACCTGTACCCAAAGGGTAAAAGGTTATACTAGTTTTGTGCGAATGTATGTAACATATAGAAGTATGCGTGGCAGACACCACAAAATATATATATTATTGATCAGGATGACGAGTAGATATATTTTAAAATAAGTAAAAAAGCTAAAGTCGGGTGTCCCGACTTTGAAATACTCTGTACATATGTTTACAATAATTATAGAAAATAAAAAAAATTAAGAAAATAAAAAAAAAAAAATTTGATCGATTTTACCTCTCTCGGTATTCGAACTCACGTAAAGGGTGTATAATTGCACATTTACATAGCAATTGCGTCTGTGTGAGTGTATGTATGCCTATGCGCATCAATTCGTGTCTGTGTAAGCATTTTCGCAGTCAACCAAACAGCAACATCAACAACAGCCGCGGGCAGCGCTTGAGCAGCGCTGCAGCAGCGCTGCATCAGCAAATATATTTATGGCTATAACTTCTTGTTAAATCGGTCTATCATAATGAAATTTGGCATACAGACACATAATAACTAACTGGGGGTATTTCCAAAATTTTATTTCGAAATTCCAAGAATTACGGGAGTTACGATTTGCGGGGTAGAGGGGGGAGGGAGGGGAATTCCAAAATATACATTTTCTGCGTATTCACATAAGGCATCTGGTGTTCCTAGGTCTTATAGTCTCCGAGATATAGGCGATTATACGAATGGAAAATCGGGAAAACCCCCATAGGGGGGAAGTGGGGGGGAAAATCAAAAAAATAAAACAAACTCGTATAGAATACACACATAACGCATCTTCGTGCAAAATTTGGTGTCTCTATCTCTTATAGTCTCTGAGATCCAGGTGTTCATACGGACGGACAGACGGACAGACAGACAGACAGGGCTAGATCGACTCGTCTCGTCATGCTGATCAAGAATATATATACTTTGTGGGGTCTGCCACGCCTCCTTCTGCCTGTTACATTTTTCAGCTCCCGCAAACCTAATATACTCTTGTACATTTCATGTACAGAGTATAAAAATATATTTATGTATGTACATAAGTGTATGTATGTATGTACATAATTAGAGACATAGGTTTATGTTCTTACAGAATACATTTACCTAATCGTGTCTATGCATATTTATATGCGTGGGTGCAGTGCAGGAATAAGTCAAAGCAGCAACAACAACGACTGCTGCCACAGAGCTGCGGTCAGAACTGCAGGCAGAGCATAAACAGCGATTTCATTTATAACTTTCTATAACTTTCTTCAGAATTTACCCATCATGATGAAACCTAACGTACGGGCACATAATCACTAACTGGATGTAATAACCAAAAATTCGACAGACGGAGGGACGGACATGGCTATATCGGCTCTCCTTGACGTCAAGATCAAGAATATATATACTTTGTGGGGTCTGCCACGCCTTCTTCTGTGTGTTACATATATTCGCACAAAATTAGTATAACCTTTTACCCTTTGGGTACAGGCTATAAAACTGCAAGTCCTTGGCACGCTCTTATTCTTTCGTTTACATTTTTTGATCATCTACATCTTTTAATTGCAAAGACAAAATGCAAAAAATGTTACCGTCGCTAGGCAACGACTGAGTAAGCGACAGTAAAGCCGAAACCGAATAACGGAGCTACGTATATTCTCTACGTATATATCTTCGCATTGAAGGCAGATGATCTCAATAAATTATAAGATGTGTAAGGTGCGGACACAGTTCTATCTGGCAGCACCGCATCGTAGAAAACAGACGCTTGTGTCCAGGGACGTATTTTAGCGCTCATAGCGTGCTCATTTTTGTTCCGAT